ATGCGATCATTTAAAATACATTTTACTCAGCAGACATTTGTAAGCTGGTGTGTTCGTCACGTGACCTTGACCTACGCGCTAAAATAAAGTTTACGGTTTTAACGGTTAGAGAAAAAACGCCAGTTTCCAAACACCGTGGGGAGGGGGGGGGGGGTGGGGTGACGAACAAGCAGTCGGCGATGCTGCGCTAATTGCTGTGATTTCACATCGCTTCCAGCCCCCCCCCCCCCCCCCCCACCAGCAGGCCCACCGACTTAATTACCTTGAAAGGTTACGTCTAAATACCAGCACTTGGCTGAACGTGGCGAAAACAAATGTTTTCAGCCGATTGGAGAAATTCTACATTCACGTCAAAATGCTGGCAACTGTACAACATCTTGGTTCATCATCAAGTGCTGGTCAGTGACTTGTCCACGTGACATAGCCACGCGAGTCTACGTGACATAGTCACGTGTGTCTACGTGACATGATCACGAGCACCAAGCACAGCCGTGTGAACTGTGTGAAAGCAACAATTGATTACACACAAAAAAAACCTAACAGTTTTTTTTACCAATGTCTCACTACTTAAAGCCGTCGTTGTTGTATTTTTTATTGAAATCATCCTCATGATCTTTTTCTGTATATGCCTAAGACACATGGGGCAGATGAAGTAGAGTTCATGTTTCGATGACCTCAGCAGACAAAGGGATAGTATGATCAGCACTATGCCCGGCCGTCTTTACTCCCCTGCGTTAGGTACTCATCAGAAATAGGTGGGCTCAGGTACGTTCTATAGATTGAACCCGGATTCGAACTCGAGACTTTCATGTTAGCAGTCTAGAGTTCTACCGCTAGGCCACTTTCTAATAGCAACATAAAAAGATGTTAGCTGGTTCGTGGCTTAAAGTTTATAGATTGATCAAACTTTGATCATTTAAAAAATGTGCCTTTAATTTTAGTTTTAGAAACATACGCAGGCCTACAGTTTAGTATGATAAAAAAAAAAGTTTAAAATAAAAATAATTAAATAAATTCAAATAATTTTTCCTGAAGCTCCAATTTTTTTTTATAAATTCAGACACGTGATCGTCTGTCCACACTCTCCCGCCCGCCCCCCCCCCCCCCCCTGTGTCTGCCACCCAACTCTCTCCATTAGTGAGTTAAGCTCCCCAGCATAAGGAAATAGAGCCACGTATGATTGATTGCTCAGCACAGTAATATCTCTAGCAATAATATTTATCAATTAACGATCCGAGCCGCATTACCCACGGGGAGGAGGGGGGGGGGGGTGATCATTCATTCATGGAGGATATGTGCTGAACGTGGTCAGGTGATTTTGGCACACGGGCGGGTGTTGATTGTAATCAATTAATTGCTGGCTTAGTGTGAGGTTAATTGGTCGTTTTACGTCACCGTATGTGGTGGTGTGTGTATACATCCACATGTGGTGGTGTCGATTTCAACCTGCTTTTCTTTTTGGATTTTCTTCCATAGCCTTTGTCCAACCTAAAACAAGCTGATTTTGGAGTTTTCTCTCCTTAATGGGTCGCTGTCCGGGGGTTTGAACTCCGGACTTTTGGGGTTAGCAACAACGAGCTCTCTTGCCCACCACGTCGACCCCTAATTAGTTTTCCAGATGAGTTAGTTGTTCAGTAAACTCGTTTCTCTGTCAGTTTCTGAAATAGCCGCATAATAGGCTATTGGAGTGGGCGTTATAAAGTCTATAGTCTTTCAGTGAGTTTGTATAATATCTAGTTGAATACTCGTAGGTCAGTGTGTCGAGGGCTGATCGAGGGCGTCATTAGCGTGAGTTAGTTATTGCGTGAGAGCGTCATTAGCGTGAGTTAGTTAGTGCGTGAAGTCGTGTGCGTGTGGAGCATGAACCCAATTATACATGTGCGTGATGAATGTATAGTTGTGTTAACATTTCTGATTGGCTGAAACAAAAGCTTTTGGTTGTCCGGGTTGTCCAACCTTGAGGTTGTCAGGACAATCACTCATACGGGGAATAACTGTTCAGTATATTGGGGGGGGGGGGGGGGGGCTGAGAGACATTATGTCTTGCTGGCAGGAACCATTTCCGGTTGCTTATCCGGTTGGAAACAGTTGATTGGATGATCGTCGGCCAATAAAAAAAAACGGCGATGCCAGTATAAAAACATCAAAAGATCTTTTTCTTCATTTCCGTTGCGAGATATTCATCTATTCTTATTTTTAATTAATCCTTTATTTTTTATTTTTTTTTTCAATTTAAATTTTTAAAATTTTTCTAAAAGCGGCACAAACCAAAGTTTTATTTGGATGGAATGGGTTGCGGTAATGTTTACATTTTGATAATGCTAACCTTGCTCGGCGTAAATCGATAACACCAACAGATCGATAATGTGTTCTACTGGACTCGATAAGTTAACTACTCATTGGTTGGTTGGTCAATGATTGTCCAGATAACTTAACTACTCATTGGTTGGTTGGTCAATGATTGTCCAGATAACTTAACTACTCATTGGTTGGTTGGTCAATGATTGTCCAGATAACTTAACTACTCATTGGTTGGTTGGTCAGTGATTGTCCAGATAACTTAACTACTCATTGGCTGGTGGTCAACCCACCCCCCGCCCCCCCTCCCCCCCCCCCCCCCCCCCCCCCCCCCCCCCCCCCCCCCCCCCCCCCCCCCCCCCCCCCCCCCCCCCCCCCCCCCCCCCCCCCCCCCCCCCCCCCCCCCCCCCCCCCCCCCCCCCCCCACCCCCACCCTGCTCTACAAACGTGTCGTCAAACCCAATAAAAAGACCTGGGCAATACCACAGAAACATATCGATCCCACAGATAACCGGTTTACCTGGACAAACACCTGAGTGCGCATGTAACCGTTTCCTCCTGCCTCAACATTCCCGCGGTTACAGCAGACACAGGAACCTGTCGGCTGCTTCCCTGATCAACTGACCTTGACCGACGTGTTTCTCTTGTCTCCGTGAAATTACGACAAACATTTCTTCCGTCATTAATTATGACCGATCGATGAAAAATCGATTATAGTTTGTAATCGATACTGAGGGTTTATTTCTCTTGACGCGACTCGTGAGTTGGGCGAAAACTAGGTCATCACAGCCGGCTCGGTTTTCTAAATACATCTCTCGTCTGCTGGTTGGTACCTGGTGGTACCGATTTGTTATCGATCACTCGGGTATACAGTGGACACGGCTCTAGAAATACCTATCTGGAGATGTTGATTTCATGGTTTAATGGAGCCATCTTGTGACGAGTGAATGTGTTCTATTTATAGACATCGGGAATTCGCAGCGTTTGACGGGGATGTTTTAAATCGGGACGTCGTGGAAAAATTCCAGAGATGAAATATTTCTGACATGTGGATGTTTCTTCTTGTGATGTGGATGAGTGGATGTTTAGTGCAATAAGGTTTAGAGTACATTGTGATGTTTTGGCTGTATAATGATGTTAATTACGTGGATAACCTGTGATTACTGTGGACTATGTAGACTTAGTATTCCCCCCGCCCCTACTGAAACGTTCAGTTTTGTAGATTAACTCACCTATTACTGTAGTCATACATAGTCTGTGTGTTTACGTTAGACAAGTCACTAAGTCTATGTGTCTAAGCAAGACCAGTGACTAACTTAGTCAATGTGTCGACACTAGACAAGTGACTAAGTTAGTCAGGAAGCCTACACAAAGTGTGTGACCAACCTAGTATATCTGTCCGACTTTTGAAGACGCCCCCCCCCCCCCCGACTTCCCCACTTATCTCCGATATCCCATAATATCCTACCCATCTGGCCAAACCCTTGTGGCCTGGTCACCTTGTTTGCACAGGTCAAATTTGTCACGGACCTTCCGTCATGGTCACCCAGTGTCCATTCAATCTTACCTGCCTCAGGTAAACATTGTCTTTAGTAAAGTACGTATCTCTCAGTCCGTCCACTACACCGTCATTGTGTTGTAAGTCTCGAGGTGGTTCGTGGAATATTCTAGTGCATCGTGCTGCGGTTTTCTGACACTGTGGTGTGGTTGGATAGGAAGATTTAACAATTGCAGGGGACTTAACTCTATTTAAATGATTGCATTGTCGAGTCGAGAATGATGGATTTAAGACAGAGAAATTTGCTTTTTCTAGGTTTGTATTCTTTTAAAGATTTGTGGGTTTTTTTCCCTTCTAAGTTTACCCTAGTGGTAGCTATAGAAACGGCGTTAATCTCCATAATGTAACAACTCGTCACTCGAGTAAGTCTCACATATTTCGAGCTGTCCCAAAAACACACCTCAAATCTCGGGAAATACCGGCTTTATCACGCGATGTTTTAACGCACGATCATTCAATGTTAACATCAACCCGTTGTTTTTTAACAGTTAACATCATCATCATCACCGTTAACAATGTGTTAAAACATTTTATTCTTCAGAGCAACTGAAGAAAGCCAAGACGATTAAAACTGGACCTGACCTTGACCGTCGTGTGGGCGTTTCAAATAGCGTCAGGTCAGCCCTCACGGCTCACAGTGAGGATTCGAACCCCGCCCTAAGCCACTACAGTCACAGTAGCTACGACCGGACCTTAGGCCACCACGACAAAGGCTTGACCACCAAGCCTGCCACTTCACCCTCTCTACCTCATCAAGGTCTTCGCTCCTCCGTCCACTCTGACGCTGCCTTAACGCATGGAAGTTATGAAGATGGCTACACCCCCAAAACTGATGGCTCGATCCCCAAGACTGACCCCCTCATAGACGAGTCATCCCGGGTCCTTGAGGAGGTGAGGGCGCGACTGGAGAACAGACGGGCCAGTTTTAACCCGGACGTCAAGATTTCGCTGTCGTCTGCACACTCAGATGGTCAACCGGAAGTGACGCCAAGCTCCGTCTTCACGCCAAGAAGCGATGGAGTCTTCCGGTTCCCTGACTCGGCAGCGGGTTCTAGACCCTCCGTGTCCGACACCACGAGACGCGAATCTCTGGGGTCGGAAAAATACCGGGAGAGTCGGCAGCAGATTCTAGAATCATCTGGTTACGTCAAGAGACAATCACTGACCCCAGACACCGTGAGACAATCCCTGACCCCAGATACGATCAGACAATCACTCAATCATGATAACGTCAGACAATCATCGCCCCAAAACTCCCCACAGCCTGTAGAAAGTTTTAAAAAGACGTCCATCATGACGTCACAGCAGGAAAACCACACAACCGGAAACGATGAGCGAATGTCTGTCGACAGAACAAGACAACACGACGACCGCCTCGGTCTGACCCAGCATCATACCAACTCACTCGTGCAAGTAGACAACAAGGGCAGTTACTCTGCTCACAAAGACACCAACGGTAAATTACTTGCGTCAGACTTCAACGATTTCTCTAAGCTCACAACGGAGGTGAGGTCAGATCAAGTAGAGCTAACCAGACCATCAGCTGACGAGATTAGGCTAGGTCTGGGTTTGAGCGCCGTCACGCCTCAGAGAAGTTCAGAGCCGATGAGGTCAGTGCAACTCATCCATGCTATTACCGACAACTTTTCTAAAATGGGAAATTACCTGGACAAAATGGAGGGGCAGGTGGAGGGCTCTAGAGTCACGAGAACTCAGAGTTTACACTCGCATGTAAGACACGAGTTGCCTCCCTCTGTAGACCTCAGGACTGACGTCACTGTTCACAGTACTAAAGAGGCTATATCAGATCTTTCTGGCAACCAACACACTGGGGAGGTAGTTCAAGGTCATATGTCTGTACTTCCGGCAATGACAGCTCCCCCTGAGTGTCAAGACATCTCAAAGCTAGCGATAGAATCAGAGCAAAGTGACGTAAGCAGTGACGTAGATTACCGAGACCCTGGCGAGGGTTTAGTTCCAGAAACCGATTCTCCCACTGAAACAGTCGAACCAAAAACCACGTTGTCCAGAGGTCGTCCGGTTGGCCGGAGTCTGACCGAGTCCCGGCTGTCCCGCCCGGACAGGTTCCGGCCCGACTTCACCGTCCTGGACAAGATAGACGAGACCAGCGAGTCGTCCAAACCAGGGGCGCCGCGAGCCCGCCGGGTCGCCGTGGCCATGCCGGGGGTGGAGTCGACACTTGAGACCGAGTTCAACAGCAGGACCGGTGATACTGGCGACAGGACCGGTCAGGCATCTAGCGAGGTGACCGGTCACCATGACGAGCTGACCGGTCACCCTGACGAGCTGACCAGTCACCCTGACGAGCCGGCCCCCAGCCCGTGGCACCATGACTACTCCATCCACCAGGCGGAAGCCGCTGACCAGCTGGCTGACCTAGACTCCAGAAAGCCCGTCAACCAGGAGGCGCTGGCCGCCCGACGGATGCGCTTCTCCGCCCCGGTGTACGGGCTGAGCCCCAACCTGCAGCTGTTGGACGCCGCAGCAGACGACACCCAGCCCAAACGTCGCCACTCCGAGATCTACAACAAGATGGAGGCGGCCAGGATCGAGCAGGCGTTCAGCAGTCTGCTGGACGACCTGGACAAGATCAGCAACTCGGAGGGCACCGTGTCGGACATTGACCTCAGCGATAACGACGACATTCTGGCCCTCAGTGACGGCTCGTCTGGCTCGTGCGCCAGCACGCCGCACCGTCCTAAACAGACATCTACGTCACTTCCGACAGGAAACGAGTCACCAATGAAGAACTCGCATCACGATGTTGTTCCATCTGAGGACATTGACGTCACGGATTCTATATTTAACCTCGACCAACTAGCTGTAACAACAGTTCTAGATTCTACCCCACGTGATCACCAGGATACCCAAAAACAAGCCGTGACCCCGGAAGTAACCCTGAAGCCGACTTCAATGACCGACACAGTGCCGAGTGGCGACATTGTGGTCAGTTTGGAGGATACCTTCACTGGACATTCTGTTAAGGTAAACATTTTTTTTTTCTTTATTTCTTGATCTTCCTAACTTTTTATTTTAGCTGATCTTATCAAAGTTTTAAATTTTTAGACATGTTTTTAAAAAATCGTATGCTTGTTCTAGATCATACGGCCGTTCACAACCAGTTAATTTAAAGTTACAGTAACGGTACTGTAAAGTTACTGTTACGTTACTGTAAGAACAATGTATGTTATTCTGGCCTCGTTTAGCTCTCTATACTGCATCTTTGCTAGTTAAATCGTATCGAATGACGGTAACTGACATATGAGAGGGCAGAAATGACCCAGGAGAGGTAAGACCTGTAAAGTCAAGGTCATCCCACATACCAGAGCACGAGCCACACCTGACCATGACCCACACCTGGGTGAACGACTCTCTGGTTACCTGGACGTCAGGGACATGTCTATTTCCTGACCCAGTCCCTCGTATCGTCATGTGGCACCAGCTGGAGTTGAACTGACCAGCGGTCAACTAGGAAGATTACACCCATGTTTTGACACGCTTACTACTACTGTCACCTCAGTTGTCTGCATGCCTCTTACAGCCACTACTCAAACATCCAAATGTGTCTAGCCGTTTAACACTTTAATAAAACAATATTTGTCGTGCGACCTGCAATCATTCATACGTGTCTACACAATTTATGATGGTAACTGGTTGATGTGGGTCTACACAATTTATGATGGTAACTGGTTGATGTGGGTCTACACAATTTATGATGGTAACTGGTTGATGTGGGTCTACACAATTTATGATGGTAACTGATTGATGTGGGTCTACACAATTTATGATGGTAACTGGTTGATGTGGGTCTACACAATTTATGATGGTAACTGGTTGATGTGGGTCTACACAATTTATGATGGTAACTGGTTGATGTGGGTCTACACAATTTATGATGGTAACTGGTTGATGTGGGTCTACACAATTTATGATGGTAACTGATTGATGTGGGTCTACACAATTTATGATGGTAACTGGTTGATGTGGGTCTACACAATTTATGATGGTAACTGATTGATGTGGGTCTACACAATTTATGATGGTAACTGGTTGATGTGGGTCTACACAATTTATGATGGTAACTGATTGATGTGGGTCTACACAATTTATGATGGTAACTGGTTGATGTGGGTCTACACAATTTATGATGGTAACTGGTTGATGTGGGTCTACACAATTTATGATGGTAACTGATTGATGTGGGTCTACACAATTTATGATGGTAACTAGTTGATGTGGGTCTACACAATTTATGATGTTAACTGGTTGATGTGGGTCTACACAATTTATGATGGTAACTGGTTGATGTGGGTCTACACAATTTATGATGGTAACTGGTTGATGTGGGTCTACACAATTTATGATGGTAACTGATTGATGTGGGTCTACACAATTTATGATGGTAACTGGTTGATGTGGGTCTACACAATTTATGATGGTAACTGGTTGATGTGGGTCTACACAATTTATGATGGTAACTGGTTGATGTGGGTCTACACAATTTATGATGGTAACTGGTTGATGTGGGTCTACACAATTTATGATGGTAACTGGTTGATGTGGGTCTACACAATTTATGATGGTAACTGGTTGATGTGGGTCTACACAATTTATGATGGTAACTGATTGATGTGGGTCTACACAATTTATGATGGTAACTGGTTGCGATCAAAATATTGATTCACAATTTTAGATCCGAGCCTAGCCGAGGGCCGGGTGAAGATAACGAGTCTTGGTATAACCCACCCCGCCCGTGCAAACAACGTTGTTAGAGATAGCAGTAATCTCTACTCTAACCGATAAACTGGCAATTTGTCAATTGGAACATTACACATGTCCGTCTATTTCAACAGCTCATCTGTCATAGTGAACATTTCGCCTATCTGTCAAATGCACAGCTCATTTGTCCGTCAAATTGACCATTTCGTATGTCCGTCAAATTGACCATTTCGTCTGTCTGTCAAATTGACCATTTCGTCTGTCTGTCAAATTGACCATTTCGTCTGTCTGTCAAATTGACCATTTCGTCTGTCTGTCAAATTGACCATTTCGTCTGTCTGTCAAATTGACCATTTCGTCTGTCTGTCAAATTGACCATTTCGTCTGTCTGTCAAATTGACCATTTCGTCTGTCTGTCAAATTGACCATTTCGTCTGTCTGTCAAATTGACCATTTCGTCTGTCTGTCAAATTGACCATTTCGTCTGTCCGTCAACTTGAACAATGTCTTATCCTCCACACTAACCTCAAGCAGACGTCAAGCAAAAGTTGAAGGCCCTAACTGGTGGTTACAACGGTAGCTAGCGGCTAACTGGTGGTTACAACGGTAGCTAGCGGCTAACTGGTGGTTACAACGGTAGCTAGCGGCTAACTGGTGGTTACAGCGGTAGCTAGCGGCTAACTGGTAGTTACAGCGGTAGCTAGCGGCTGATCTCGTATTGACAGGTTGGGACCTGTTGTCTGCGCCTCAGTGAACACCGACAGTTTGACGACAACACCCCCACCCCCATCCTCAGTCCCCTATGACAAGGTGAACTCAATAGTGCACAGACGATAAATCTTAATGATGTTGGACCCTAATGTAGGACCTTAATGTAGGACCTTAATACACTGCCTACAGGCGCTACATTCGTGCAAAATGTGCAAGTAGGTGAACCTGAACAGCACCAAGCTAAAAAATTAAATAGATTTTTTTTTTTTAAGATGTTATATACATTCTGATAAGCAGAATATGTTTTGCTAACACGTGTTTTAAAACTACCACAACACATCTCCATTTCATAAACCTAATCTAACTAAATATAGCCATACTCCGTGAAACACATGTAGTGTTTACGTTTATGTTTTTGTCAAGAGTTGAAAGGTCAAGTTATGACGTACTACCCACCTACACTGTGTATAATAAGGGAAGTAACTTATGAACTACTTGAGACTATTAGTTCCCCTAACGATACATCACAACTCAAGTGCTAGCTTCGCCAAAGTTCTCATGACCGTGTAATGAATGAAACAAGTTCATTCAACAAAATCTACCAGCCCATTGGATCATTTCCCCATACATTTCTTAACCTTTCTTAGTCTTGCTAATAGTTAGTCTTAGCTTAGGGTTAGTCGGAATCGCGACGGATTCATGTCTCTAACATGGTAACTAAGTGACGCTATTCTGCCCTAATTAATGAGCCTATACCATTCTGTATTGTTGTGTAGAGCTATACTCTAGTTGTTGTATTGTTGTATCAAACTATACAACTGTTGTATTTATTGTCGCAACGTTTAAATTATTTGAAATATGTTCAATTAGTGCGTAATTTAACAGACCCCATCCCATGGTTTATTACAAATTTAGAATGCTAATTGAGTAAGGTTACGTTTTTTTTAATTCCCCCATCTCCCCCCCCCCATTATTTCTTCGTATATTTTCCCCTCTCCTCCCTCACCCCTCTCCCTCCCTTCTCCTCCCTCCCCTAATTAGAATGACTGAGCAGAAAAACTCCCCCCCCCCCCACGTACATACTGTTGGCTCCACGGAAATATATCTCTGTCCCATTACAAACTGTTGACCCGCTAGATAAGGAAGGGGGGGGGGGGTTGTGTCGTCTGTCAAGTGTGTGTGTGTGGGGGGGGGGGGGTGTCGTCTGTCAAGTGTGTCCAGGCCGACCTACAAGCCAACAACCCGAATGTGAAGTCTTGCATTAAATCTTAGAGGTCAGGGGTCACCGCGTTTCTACTCTAATTATTTACCGAGGGCAGAGGGGTGTTTCTATCATGTTAGGTCTGGTTAGTGGCAGCTTAAGGTCTCTGGTTAGTGGCAGTTTAAGGTCTCTGGTTAGTGGCAGTTTAAGGTCTCTGGTTAGTGGCAGCTTAAGGTCTCTGGTTAGTGGCAGCTTAAGGTCTCTGGTTAGTGGCAGTTTAAGGTCTCTGGTCAGTGGCAGTTTAAGGTCTCTGGTTAGTGGCAGTTTAAGGTCTCTGGTTAGTGGCAGTATAAGGTCTCTGGTTAGTGGCAGTTTAAGGTCTCTGGTTAGTGGCAGTTTAAGGTCTCTGGTTAGTGGCAGTTTAAGGTCTCTGGTTAGTGGCAGCTTAAGGTCTCTGGTTAGTGGCAGCTTAAGGTCTCTGGTTAGTGGCAGTTTAAGGTCTCTGGTCAGTGGCAGTTTAAGGTCTCTGGTTAGTGGCAGTTTAAGGTCTCTGGTTAGTGGCAGTATAAGGTCTCTGGTTAGTGGCAGTTTAAGGGCTCTGGTTAGTGGCAGCTTAAGGTCTCTGGTTAGTGGCAGCTTAAGGTCTCTGGTTAGTGGCAGTTTAAGGTCTCTGGTTAGTGGCAGTTTAAGGTCTCTGGTTAGTGGCCGTCTAAGGTCTCTGGTTAGTAGCCGTCTAAGGTCTCTGGTCAGTGGCAGTTTAAGGTCTCTGGTTAGTGGCAGCTTAAGGTCTCTGGTTAGTGGCAGCTTAAGGTCTCTGGTTAGTGGCAGCTTAAGGTCTCTGGTTAGTGGCAGTTTAAGGTCTCTGGTTAGTGGCAGTTTAAGGTCTCTGGTTAGTGGCCGTCTAAGGTCTCTGGTTAGTGGCCGTCTAAGGTCTCTGGTTAGTGGCTGTCTAAGGTCAGTCAGACAGGTCTCTGGTTAGTGGCAGTTTAAGGTCTCTGGTTAGTGGCAGCTTAAGGTCTCTGGTTAGTGGCAGTTTAAGGTCTCTGGTTAGTGGCCGTCTAAGGTCTCTGGTTAGTGGCCGTCTAAGGTCTCTGGTTAGTGGCTGTCTAAGGTCAGTCAGACAGGTCTCTGGTTAGTGGCTGTCTAAGGTCAGTTGGTCAGGTGTATGATGTAAGTTTGTCTCTAGTCGGACAGTAGCTGTCTACCTGAAGAAGGTAAGGTTGTTTTAACCCTAATTTGACCCTTAACTTGCAATTAAACATTTGTTTCGTTACATGATTTTTTGATTCCTAACATGACAACCCGCATCCCATTCAATAAATTCAACTTTTGACTGGTGACGTCTGCGTGCAAA